AAAAAAAAAAAAAACAATTGTACATATAAAATATTGTAATACGAAACAAATAAATAAAATCAAGAAACAACGACCGAACGATAGAGAAATGAAAACCAAAATGTGATAAAAATAAAAAAACATGTGTGTTGTACCTTTTGAAGACTACCAGGATTTAATTGAGTCTTGTCGATTATCTTGATGGCCACCTCTTTCCCCGTAGGCACGTGCTTAGCAAGTTTCACCTTGGCGAAATTACCTTTGCCGATGGTTTTCAGTAATTTGTACTTGCCAATGTGAGGTTCCTCGGAGGTCCGACTCCTCGAAGAGAGCCGACCTCCTCCCACTACCCCTCCTACTACGCCATCTCCCGTCTGCGAACAAATAAAAAGATTATATACGTCAGTCAAATTGCGTGTAATCTCGCGCTAAAAATATATATACATAAAAACAGTCTTGCGAAATGTTGCTCTCATAATCGCAAGACGCAACGAGAGTCGGTTTCGTTGTCTTCTTCATTACGGGGGGGTACGACCTCTTATAAACTACGAGTAACCACGAGGATATATATGTTTATATAGCAAAAAACAAAAAATTTATTATTCGACATTAATCAACTTGGGAACAATTAAATCCATCCATACGCGCGCGATGCGCGCTAATTTGTTTCGAGAATGCGAGAGATAGCTGCGCGAAATTCCGTCATAAATAGCCGACTATTTCAGAAACTCGAGTCGCATCTCCGAGCGCGCGCGGCATTTAATAGTCGCGGAATGTGGACAAAAGAAATGCGGGGTAAGTGGTCGTTAAAACAAACAAAAAAAAATCACTCACTGTATTCTTCTCGAGAATATATCACGTTTAGAAAAATCGCAATTCTTTTCCTTCTCACGCAATATCGCGTTTTATTTACGCGCGACCACAACTTGACACTCCCAGCGGTGGCGGGGGCCACCGCCAATGGAATTAATGAAACCCTCGTTTAAGCGCTAGATAGACTTAGATTGTTTCGAATGGAACATGTTCGCGTTTAATTCTTCTAACGCTCTTTCGCATTAAATTGCCACGTTGATGGGACGCGCGCTATTATAATCTTTCGCGCGCTACGTCTAACAAGAAAAAAAAAAAAAAAAAAACAGAACTGATAAGTATTATTTATAGACGGAACGCGTGAGGAATAATATTTCGCTCTAAAAATAAACGCGTGCGTGAAAATTAAAAAACCCCGGCGCGAATTTATTTGAATTTAAAAAAAAGCTTCAAGGATTTTTCACGAGCGGCAAAAGATGGTTCATTTTTTTTTTTTTGCGATCGAAAGAATTCAAATTGCCGTTTCACATACACAAAGTGAAAAAGTAAATCGGACGATCGGAATTGAACAGAACGACGACGATGAAAACTTTGACTTAATCAATTCGGGCGGCAATTTCAAAAAAAAAAAGGAAATTCTCAAAAACATTCTCATTTACCCGCAGAAGGCCGCGCGTGACCATCTTGCGCGAGTTGCTGGTAGCCGCAACCTTGGAGGCCGCCAGTTTGAATTCTCTTCCTCGGCGGAAAACGATAGATCGATATAAAACAACGGATCGACGACGGATCCGATCAATGGATCGCTTTTTTTTTTGCGCTCGCACGAGCCGCGACTCGCGCGAGAATACAAGCGGGAGGGGGAAGGGAGGAAAAAGTTCAACGGAATACAGATCACTCGATCACTAGATATCCCCCCCCCACGTTGTCTTTGTAGTACTTTGGTTTTTTTATTATTTTTTTTTAATTTTTATTTCACGCGTTGACAGAGAGAGCGATCGCGAGATGACGGCAACTAGTTTTTGCCTCGATATTTTTGGTTTTTTTTTTTTCAAATTTATTCTCGGGATCGTTCGATAAAAGTCGATCATGAGTTTTTGGCGATCGTACATCGCCGTGGTCGGTCGTTCTGAAAGGTCGACCGATGAGTCAGTTCACGAAGCGTGTCACTGTGCTGGGTCATTTTAGCGGGGATATACGCGGTGTCGTGCAAAAACAAATGCACTTCTTCGAAGCGACGAGCCTAACACTTCGGGGGGGGGGGTTTTTTTTTGTTGTCGAAGAAGTAAACAAACTTAATTCGACGACCCCCCACCCTTTTATCTCTTCGCTGTTGATTTCATTGAGGTTTATTGAAAGCTCCGACGTGCGCCGACACTCCTCAAGTACTTATTTTCGATCGACAAATCTCTCTCTCTTTGTATAAAGCGCGAATATCTCATGCTCCCGATATAATATTTCCTTAGGCACTGTTTGTACTGACGATTAAACCGCAAATCGATTCCTCCAAGACGACCGCTTTATTAACGTATTCTCTCAAGAGCGAAATACCAGCTTCTGCATTTCCCTTGCAAGTTAGTAAAGATCCTTCTCCTCTGGAAGAATAATAGAAAATTTTCTAATACAGAAAAGAGTGGAAAAACGTTCTCTTCCGTTTCTTCTCTTCTTCTTCTTCAAAGAGGTATGTAATTTTAATTTAAAAACATTTTTTTCGATACGCAGGTTGCGGTGTTGGATCTCGGAGTCGATGACGGAGCCGAAGATTTTTTTTCGCGGCACTAGAAAAAAAAAAAAAAAAAAAAAAAAAAAGGCGTGTGCCACACGCGTTCGAATTCCTTCGTTGATGAAGAAGATTCAAACCCGATCACAAACTAACGCGCGGCGACCTTTTAGGTCAAACGACGACAGTGAGGACGAACGCCGCCAGCGGCACCCATATCCTCTCACCCGAGTATCCCCAGTCCGTTGCGCTCTCTCAACATCGATCCATTACCGAGCGAATAGTTCGCTTGTCAATTTGCCGAGACGCGATATCAATTAGTAGCGAGCCACGTTGTGTCAAAAGGCGAGACCTTATCGCGACTATAGAAGAAGAACTCGGATAGGTCAAACCGGTGGGAGTTTCGGTTTATCGCGCCAGGTGTTGTTCCTGATTCACGACGAACTCTCCCGACCCGCGTTCACACTTGCTCCCTCCTCCCGGAAGGGTGTCTTCCGAGAGACTTGCCAAGGCCAAAAAGCGGCGATGTTGTTTCGGATCTTCCTTTCGTAAGTGTCGCGCCCGAACGTTTTCATCGTTCGTTCACACTGTGTCGAAGATAAAACAAACGCGCGCGCACAAAGAAAAACGCGAAGCGGAGGGGCTCTTCTGCTCTGGCCGTCGTCGACGTCGACGACGACCGTGCGACGACTGCCTTCACCCCTTTGCACCCTCGAAACGAGCCACCCTTTCCCCGAAGGAGAGGGATGCGAAGACAGAATCAATACACGGTGGTGCCGCCACCCCCCGGTGGAAACGCGCGAGCACAAACCACCCTTGAATGTCTGGCGTTCGCCCTACCCTTCTCTGCCCGAACTCTCTTTCCCCCCGAACGACGGGGGAGGAAGACGCATGCGCCACTCGGGGAACGGTGACCAAACACATGCGCTTCTCTGTCCTCCGTGTGTGTCCCTTCGACCGAGCGTTCCGCTCGCGGCCGAGATGACAGACAGAGACTCCCGGACTGGTCAGCTGATCGGTCCCGTATGACGTTGCCGAAAAGCGCGCCGTACATTTCGCAACAAAAATATGAATTTT